TTAGTCGAGCGTTCTTCATTTATCACTTGATGCGTTAAATCCGCTTTATAAAAACGCAATTCTTGGAGTTGTGATGTTTCATCAGCTGAGTGTGTTATTGTTCTCCGTTTTTTAAGAGTTTGTTGAAGGAAGTTTGTTTTGTGCCGTTATGTCGTTGATCAAAACGTTGATTGTGAATGTCGGAGATAATCATGACGGATTGTTGTACCGTCTATCGAAAGGTGAGTCTCGATTAGTGATCCCCACATTGTTTCGCTTGTTCGGGACATGATTCCCAATTGATGCTAATTTTGTCATGCACGAATTATCCAGGCTTTTATTTATTTTGACGTTTACTCGCGTTCATTTGAAGGTCGAAAGAAGGTTGAGAGCTCAGGATCATTAATTATGCGTAAATTTTGAGAGAAAATTCCCGTATGTTCGCCTTTTTTCTGTGCGTTCATCACGAAGTGGTTTTCGAATTTTTTGTAATTTACGGATGATCAAATTTTTAGATCGCCCTCATCTTTTCATCTTTCACTTAAAATTAAAACTTCAAGATCACTTCACATTATTGAGTTCCTCCGATTCAAGTTCTAGTGAGGTTTACTTTCGCCTTGTTATTGGATCCATTGTTAGTCTCAATTTTCGTTTTAAATTTTTCAGGTGATACCTTAAGATTGAAGAAAGGTTCCACCCTCTATGGTGTACCCAATGCAGTCATTACCACTAATCATCCAGAGGAAGGAGTGGAATTTCACAGACATCAGTTTCGGGAGTTGGAATGGACGATACCCAAAGACGAATCGGGTTGCGGGTTGATAATGGCGGATCATTTCGTCGATTTGCCCATCCGTTCATCGGGTTCATTTCGGTTCAACGTCGTAGTTTCTGGGTTCGTGTTTTCAGAAACAAATTTCGCTTTTTTGTCATGTTCTTTAAGTTTTTTTAAATGCTTTCTTTTGTTTAGAAAAACGGAATTGACTGGTGACTTCGTCGTCGACCCTCGGTTCACCATGGGTGCTTCTGGGGAACCCTTGTCCCTGGACGGTATAGAATGTGTCACTGTGTTGCCCAAGAGTCTCGGATTGTTGAATGAGTGGGAAGGACGATTGAGGGTTCTTAAAGAAACTGGGTATAACATGATCCACTTCACTCCTGTTCAGGTTAGCTTTCTAGATATCTTCCGAGTGCGAATAACGCCAAATTTTCATTTGATTTTTTATTTGGTGCTCTTTGAGCAGGAATTGGGTGCATCAATGTCTTCGTATTCATTGCGAAACCAGCACAAATTGAACCACATGTTTGGATCCAAGCACACGATGGCGGACCTCGCCAAACTTATAAAGAAGATGGAAACCCAGTGGAAGGCGAGACATTATTTTCTATAATTTCATCATCGTTAGTCCTCACTTACATCATCATTTCTTAGAAATAATTATTATCTGTGTTACAACTTTTTCAACATTTTTAGTGAGAAGAATTATAGGGGCATGAATTGGTGCCAAGTTTGAGGAAACAAAGGAAAGATTCGATTAATAAATTAATATTTCTGGATCGCTGAGGAACTCTTTCATGATGTCACTCGTTTTACGGTGTTTTAATTAATTGTTTTTCTTGCTCAAAATATATTTAGATGCTCAGTATTTGTGACATTGTCTTGAACCACACGGCAAACGAAAGCGAATGGATTTTCGAGCACCCAGAAGCGACCTACAATTTGCACAACATGCCTCATCTTCGTCCAGCGTATT